GAGCGCCCGGTTGACACAATTCAGTATAATCGAATGACTGTAAGAATAACAAAAGTTGGGATTAAAAAATCGGTCAGATATCCACAAAATGTTAAAGGAATGTATGTGTACGAGGAATATTATTGTTACATATATATAAATATAGTACTGAATCCTTGTGGACGGAACACGCATTTGAGTTTTGCCAACAAAAAAAAATATTTTTTTTTTAATATAATAAATTACATGCAAAATAAGCTAATATAGATGAAAATAATAAAATATTTTAAAATAAAAATAAAAATCGTATTTAATAAAAAATTATTACAACAACATTACAAGTTGTTGCTGTTGGTGTGTTGTAGTTGTTGTTCTATAATACAAAATGTCTGGTTATGGAAACTGTTTTACTGTACATGTGTATGGATGTAGGCACCATATTGTTTTTACTTACAGGCCTAAGCTTTGTGTAAATGGAATTTGAATGTAAATGATTACGGAAACAATTTATTAGAATACATTAAATTTTTGTTATTGTATTTTAGTCTGATAACCACGCACCTGTTGAATGTTATTCTGATCCCGCGGAGTTATGGCATCAGCACCGATACCTGAATCGGGGCTTGGCAAATCGACAGTTAGACCGGCAGCAGTTACAGTTTTAGCATAGATTGGAGCACAGTTTTTGGAGGTGTGCACAACAGCAGCGCTACTTGTGGTGGTTGAAGTACTGAAACGTCCTTCGTATGTGGTTCCCGGTTGTGGTCCATCATTATCGGTATAAACAGCACGCGCTGGTGCATAACCGCTTTGTACGTCCGAAGTGAAGTATTCGCGATAATATGGCTCAGATATGAATGTTGAAGTTGGTCCAGCAGTTAGACGTGTTGTGTACATGCCATAGCCATCAGAACTGATGTATGGGCCAGGACTGGGCGTTTGTGCATTAACGGCATTGGCAGCGCCTGCAGAGCTAGTTTGATGTGGACCCTGATTTGCATGTTGGTATGATGTGGAGCCATTATAGAATAAATAAATTGTCAAGAGTGCAAAACGTTTTTTGGTAGTCAGAACGGATAGTTTGCACAGTAGCAGTATCAGTAGCAGGTTTCAATAGAAGAAAAAGAGAAAAGTATGAATGAATAAATGTTTGTGTGCAGTTTGAAGTGTATTCATGATGTGTGTGTGTACATTTTGAACGAATGAACGTGTGAAATATCAAACAAATAACAAGAATTTTATTTTATTTTATTTTTTTTGTTTTTTAATCGAACTCTTTGATAATCGGATTATGTAAAAAATGCCAGTTGTAGGTGTGGAATGACAACTCTAGTTGTTGTTGTTGTTGTTAACATCTTCTACTACGCTTTTTTATACTTCACGACTGTAACAACAGTAAGAACAGCAGTAGCGTATATATTCGAATTGACTGGCTACTATAAGTTTGTCTGCTTGGTGTGTTGTCGAAGTAACCGAAGTAACCGAAGTAACGATTCCGGTTTCATTTCAGCTCACCAGCGATTCTTGGCTCACCAAGCGGCCTACTACGGCCACGATCCGCCGATCTACCGACCGGCGCTAATTGCTAATAAGTGCGTGCGTGGTGGTCAAGTGTATATCAGGAACAAAATGTTTCAAATAAAACAAAAGCTTTGTTTTTATTATTGAAGTGTAACTAAACTAGTTTCGAACTGGTGGCTGTAGGTTGCTGGTTGCTCGAAGCGATTTAGATGACGATTGCCGCGATAAAAGTGAAATTATATGCTAATGACAACGTCATAAGTCAGGCAAATGGCACCACATTCGCAGTTGCTGCTTGCTTTCCAAAGATTTTTTCTTCTGGTTTCTTGTTTTGTTTTTTTTTTTGTCACGACGTAACGTTTATTATTATCTTCTTTGGACATGGTGGAGCTTGTGCCCAATTGTCTTCCTTGGCTTGGCTTTTACATTTCGCTTTTCGGTTATTTGTATGAATTTGGTACGTGTGTTCAAGTAGGAATCACACTTTGGGTTGTTGGACTCACCTGTAGATAGATTTGTGTGCCGCCGCCAGCAGCGTACATTGTATCGGTTGTTGGGCTTCCAGGACTGGGTGGTGGCTCTTTAATATGTATTTGTGTTGGTGGTGGCGACTGCTCGACTAAAACCTATAGAATTAAATTAAATTTGAGTACAAACTGTTGCGAACTAAGACTATTTTTTTTTTGTGTTTTTGTGATGGTGTATCTGCAGTATTTATGTAAAAAAAACAAGAACTGCTTTTAAAACAATAACAACAAACGCACTGCAACTTACAGTGGTGGCTAATGGAATCTGCACAACTTAGTGGACTGCAATTTTCAAAAAGAAACCACAGCTTTAACAAAAAATACCAATAGCTAATAAACAATAAATTTAGATAAAAAAAAATAATACTAAAATTGTCTAAAATTAAACGGCGATTTCATGATGTCATAAAATTTATGACCGCTCTGCTGACGCAAATAACCAATTTTTTTTGCATAAATTTCCATAAAAATTGAAGCTTGTATTTATGGAAATATTTTTATATTTAAAAAAACAACGGTTAATAAGCGCTATGGTTTTCAAAAAACATAAAAATGACTAAAAAAATTTCAATAAAATAAATAAAAAAAAAAAAATTATTTGAATATAAGCGAAAAAAATGGACAAAAATGCTTATGACAGAAAACAATATCACACAGTCACACATTACAAAGAATAAAAATTTATCAAAAAAAATTAATATTAAATTTGATTAGATTAAAAATTTGTTTAAAATAAAATTATTCTAAATGATTGAATGGAAAAAATCTCATTATTAAATTTAATAAATTGATAATTAAGCACTGCTGTTATCCATTATTCCATTAAATCATTAGAGTTCAGTATTTAATATATAACCAAAGTAGCTTAATTATCAAATTAAATTAAATTTAATAATGAGAAATTTTTCACAATCTCAATTCAAATTTAGTAAAAAATAATTTATTTAAAAAAAAATTTTTTAATCTAAAATCTAAATTTAAATTATTTAAATTTTTTTGATAAAATTTTAATTATTTAGTAAATGTGTTGACTAGTGTAGTATATTTGTTTTCTTGTCAAATAAGCATTTTTGTCAATAGTTTCGCTTATATTTCAAAATAATTTTTTTATTTTTTATATTATTTTTTATTGAATATTATTTTTAGCTCATGTTTTTCATAGTTTTTTGAAATATACAATAAGCGCATATTAAAAACGATCTTTTTTTAAATATAAAAATATTTCCATAAATACAAGCTTCAATTTTTATGGAAATTTATGCAAAAAAAATTGGTTATTTGCGTCAGCAGAGCGGTCATAAATTTTATGACATCATGAAATCGCCGTTTAATTTTAGACAATTTTAGTATTATTTTTTTTTATCTAAATTTATTGTTTATTAGCTATTGGTATTTTTTGTTAAAGCTGTGATTTCTTTTTGAAAATTGCAGTCCACTAAGTTGTGCAGATTCCATTAGCCACCACTGTAAGTTGCAGTGCGTTTGTTGTTATTGTTTTAAAAGCAGTTCTTGTTTTTTTTACATAAATACTGCAGATACACCATCACAAAAACACAAAAAAAAAATAGTCTTAGTTCGCAACAGTTTGTACTCAAATTTAATTTAATTCTATAGGTTTTAGTCGAGCAGTCGCCACCACCAACACAAATACATATTAAAGAGCCACCACCCAGTCCTGGAAGCCCAACAACCGATACAATGTACGCTGCTGGCGGCGGCACACAAATCTATCTACAGGTGAGTCCAACAACCCAAAGTGTGATTCCTACTTGAACACACGTACCAAATTCATACAAATAACCGAAAAGCGAAATGTAAAAGCCAAGCCAAGGAAGACAATTGGGCACAAGCTCCACCATGTCCAAAGAAGATAATAATAAACGTTACGTCGTGACAAAAAAAAAAAAACAAAACAAGAAACCAGAAGAAAAAATCTTTGGAAAGCAAGCAGCAACTGCGAATGTGGTGCCATTTGCCTGACTTATGACGTTGTCATTAGCATATAATTTCACTTTTATCGCGGCAATCGTCATCTAAATCGCTTCGAGCAACCTACAGCCACCAGTTCGAAACTAGTTTAGTTACACTTCAATAATAAAAACAAAGCTTTTGTTTTATTTGAAACATTTTGTTCCTGATATACACTTGACCACCACGCACGCACTTATTAGCAATTAGCGCCGGTCGGTAGATCGGCGGATCGTGGCCGTAGTAGGCCGCTTGGTGAGCCAAGAATCGCTGGTGAGCTGAAATGAAACCGGAATCGTTACTTCGGTTACTTCGACAACACACCAAGCAGGCAAACTTATAGTAGCCAGTCAATTCGAATATATACGCTACTGCTGTTCTTACTGTTGTTACAGTCGTGGAGTATAAAAAAGCGTAGTAGAAGATGTTTACAACAACAACAACAACTAGAGTTGTCATTCCACACCTACAACTGGCATTTTTTACATAATCCGATTATCAAAGAGTTCGATTAAAAAACAAAACAAAAAAAAAATAAAATAAAATAAAATTCTTGTTATTTGTTTGATATTTCACACGTTCATTCGTTCAAAATGTACACACACACATCATGAATACACTTCAAACTGCACACAAACATTTATTCATTCATACTTTTCTCTTTTTCTTCTATTGAAACCTGCTACTGATACTGCTACTGTGCATACTATCCGTTCTGACCACCAAAAAACGTTTTGCACTCTTGACAATTTATTTATTCTATGATGGCTCCACATCATACGAACATGCAAATCAGGGTCCACATCAAACTAGCTCTGCAGGCGCTGCCAATGCCGTTAATGCACAAACGCCCAGTCCTGGCCCATACATCAGTTCTGATGGCTATGGCATGTACACAACACGTCTAACTGCTGGACCAACTTCAACATTCATATCTGAGCCATATTATCGCGAATACTTCACTTCGGACGTACAAAGCGGTTATGCACCAGCGCGTGCTGTTTATACCGATAATGATGGACCACAACCGGGAACCACATACGAAGGACGTTTCAGTACTTCAACCACCACAAGTAGCGCTGCTGTTGTGCACACCTCCAAAAACTGTGCTCCAATCTATGCTAAAACTGTAACTGCTGCCGGTCTAACTGTCGATTTGCCAAGCCCCGATTCAGGTATCGGTGCTGATGCCATAACTCCGCGGGATCAGAATAACATTCAACAGGTGCGTGGTTATCAGACTAAAATACAATAACAAAAATTTAATGTATTCTAATAAATTGTTTCCGTAATCATTTACATTCAAATTCCATTCACACAAAGCCTAGGCCTGTAAGTAAAAACAATATGGTGCCTACACCCATACACATGTACAGTAAAACAGTTTCCATAACCAGACATTTTGTATTATAGAACAACAACTACAACACCAACAGCAACAACTTGTAATGTTGTTGTAATAATTTTTTATTAAATACGATTTTTATTTTTATTTTAAAATATTTTATTATTTTCATCTATATTAGCTTATTTTGCATGTAATTTATTATATTAAAAAAAAAATATTTTTTTTTGTTGGCAAAACTCAAATGCGTGTTCCGTCCACAAGGATTCAGTACTATATTTATATATATGTAACAATAATATTCCTCGTACACATACATTCCTTTAACATTTTGTGGATATCTGACAGATTTTTTAATCCCAACTTTTGTTATTCTTACAGTCATTCGATTATACTGAATTGTGTCAGCCGGGCGCTC